ATATTCTTCATAAAGTAAAAGAAATAAAATAAAGACAAATGTGAAATACACTTGTATTGCAGTACCTTGTCTCAAGCCATTCTCAACGATTAGCTAGTCAGGATTGAGATCGACTAACCATCTGATGAGATTCTTGAGCAAGATCAAAATCAGTCGTAGAGTTGGTTCCGTACTTACACCATCATACCTAAGAGGCATCTGCCTGTGAAAAGATTAAAAAAAATAGTTTTTGTTTTGGAGTAAGTCTTATTTTATGACGTCTTTTTGACGCTTAAAGAAAACATAATAACAGGGAGGAAGAGAAGAGAGAAAGGAAAAATGGTATAATATCAATAATAAAAACAAACGGAAAAGATAAATAGGACAAAAAGAAATGTAAGTAGATAAAAGGCGGACCATATGCTAATTTATTTCTTCTATCAAACATAAATGACAAAAAATCTCTGAAACATAAGCCAGAAACGATATTAAGATGGAGTGAGAAGGTAGTGTTGTTAAAAAGCTGAGACGAATTCGCGCACTAAACTAATCTATTTTCTTATTAGGAATGACTTTCGATGAATTGGAATCAGCGGATTACAATTGACTCATGCTTATCAATCATTTTTCTCATTCTGAATAGGCTAGAGAGATGTTCCAAATTCATCTTTTGTTCAGCATAATTTCTTTGTTGTTTCTTTTCTTTATTCGTAATGACATCCCAATAGAAAATATCGTTATAAAATAACGAATCGCCTAGGTTGAAAAGGGATATTCTATTAATTCATTCACGTGCCCCTATAGTTGTGCATCTATGTGCTATTGTTAAACCCACTCTGAACTTACGTTCTAGAAACCTTTGGTGAGAGATATTCAGTAGGGAGGAGGAAAGAAAGTAATAGGCAAAGAAACATAGGTTCAACTTGTCAGTTGAAACCATTCAATTTCTCTTTGGTCATCTTAATTCAGTATATGAACTTTTAGTCTTCTTTATAGAATGTTTGATAGTCGTTGTGAGGGAGAATTTATCCGTCTACACGAATTCTAAATAACTAAATGATCTTACTGTTTCTAATTATTTTAGTTTAAGTTTCTTATAGAATATAATATATGTAACAACTTGATGTCCAGTCAACAAGTCAATAAAAACAATGGACCACGCAATTGGTGGCATCGTCATTGGTTTGTGATCATTTGCATCTGCTTTATCGTTCTAACAATGCTTGCAATTATACTCTCTCTGGTATTGAAATTCGTCATACTTGCACCAAAGAAGCAGGATACCACTATGGCAACATCACTATCATCAACGGCGATGTCACCAACATCATTAATAACAAATGTGATCACAACTCAACAATCAGGTAAGCTGTACACAAACACTTCTCAATATACCTACCTATTACTTTTAAATCAGTTATATGTAATTGCTATGCAACTAACGATTACACTAAAATCACCTAGAATCAGTAACTTACCAAAAGTCAATCAAAATTACTTTAAAGTAAAAAAAATTTGGCAAAAATAGCTTTAGATTCTTTATCAGCTTTGAAGAATTCTAGTTGATTTTAAATGGTTTTGAATGATTAATACAGTTTAGATTGGTTTTAGAGTAATTTAAATTACCTTTTTTTTCTTCTAGTATTGTAGTCATATTTAGTAGAAATACTCACTCAAAAATGATAGTTTTGATTTGTTTTGTTATAGTTGATTCGTAATCGATGAAAATCATATAATTTCAATCCTTTATGGAATCATTTGTATTAATATATTGCGACTTTTTTCTTGCATTAGTAAAATGGAAGGAATTTATAAACAAAAGATGCTTAATCGAAGAATAACCTCCAAATTAGTAATAAGAGACTCATAAAATCAGGTGATTCGAAATGAATATGCTTATGGGTGGAGTGCATTGGAGTAGGCAAAGAGAATACCATCAACTATACTCAAATTCACACCAAGTTTCGAAAGATAGTAAGTATCATAAAAACTTTGTCCAGATTAATAGTTGTATCAATATCTAATTGATAAGTAGAGTATTGTATTCTATTTTTTTAGGATCTATACATAAACATTACTGGCGAAGCTATTTCATGTGAAACAGTCGTTTAAAAATGTTTAATCTCTTGGATCAAATGAACTTGAGACAAGATAACAATGAGATCTTCACACCTAGTCATGGAGAATCGCGCAATGTTTTCATTTAGTTTCTCCAGGCATCTCATAACAGCAATGTATTTTCCTACATGGAAACTACTCATTTGTCAAACATCTTATACTTGAGTACTATTTCTATTCGTTATTAAAAATATATTGACTACCTGGTTCTAAGTAATATCCACGAGACTGTTAAACATACCCTTAGCTTTTCGAAAATTGAGGACGATATTGAAGAAAATGACTGTCGATATTTTGTAGAGTTACCGTGTGGTTCTAGAATGTTATTTTGTGCTGAGAACTCTTCAGTTTCGATATATTGTGGAAATATTGGTAGATTTTCGGCAACCGAGTTTTCCAAATGATCTGTCATACAACAAATTATTCATGGCAAAGAAAAATTGTATTTTTTTGTGCATAAATCCTACGAGTATAGAAATGAACTAAAATAGATGAAAAGAAACATGAATCGCTTTAATGTTATGATTGAGATTTATTGAACAGAATGAGAAACATATCGATTTTCCAATGCGCATATTGTAATCAACATGAACGTCGAAATTACATTGCACTATTTGAGCAACACTTCTAAAAGAGATCCAAACAAAGTGCTCAGCGTCATCTCACCCTGTTGAGCACCACGCAGTGCACGAACTATTTACAAAAATAGGCTTTTGTATGAGTATCAATAAGAAAAGTTGGGATCGAAAGTCCAAATAGAACTTGGATCCGAGACGAAAGTGCAATAGAAAACCGAACCTAGACAGGACTCTATTCTCCTTTTTAAAATGATTTTGGATTCAAACCGAAAATTCCTTCGGTCCAAATCCCAGCAACTCATGATCGCAAGCACATTAAGTCTGTAAATAATGTGATGATAATTAGAGAATACGAACCTAGTTGATATGTTATTCATGCGTACGATTCTGTATCAAAAACACAAAATCTACGGTCACACCGCATCATGAACGACTTCTTATAACAAATTCAAGACGTTTTGCGGTCACCAGAAATTCAGAAAAAAAAACTTCGTTTTATTATTAAGAAATGATATTCATTTTACAAAATCCAAACTTTGCGCATATCATTAGACTATCGTGTGTGTATGTTCAACAACACATATTCTTCCCAGAATGAGCATATACATATATTTTCGTGCAGGATCGATCAATGGTAACAGCATGAGACATCCAAGGACACAACATACAGCGACCTTATTAACAAATGGAAAAGTGCTAGTTACTGGTGGAAGATATGATAGTGTTATTTCAAATAGTTCCGAATTGTATGATCCATCAACAGGAACTTGGACAACTACTGGTAGCATGAACCATCGACGAGATCACCACACAGCGACCTTATTAATAAATGGAAAGGTGTTAGTTGTTGGCGGAAGAAATTTTTCTGGAAATTTAGGTAGTGCTGAGTTGTATGATCTATCAACAGGAACCTGGACAACTACTGTTAGCATGAATAGTAAACGAGCGGAGCACACAGAATCCTTATTAACAAATGGAAAAGTGTTAGTTGCTGGTGGACTCAGCCATGAGTGTCTTAGTAGCGCTGAGTTGTATGATCCATCAACAGAAACTTGGACAACCACGGATAGCATGAACCATTCACGAGCTTGGCACACCGCATCCATATTAAAAAATGGAAAAGTGTTAGTTACTGGTGGAGACTGCATGAATATTTTTTTAAGTAGTGCTGAGTTGTATGGTTCATCAACAGGAACTTGGACAACTACTGACAGCATGAATAGTAAACGAGTGAAGCACACAGCATCCTTATTAACAAATGGAAAAGTGTTAGTTGCTGGTGGACACAACCATGAGTATCTTAGTAGCGCTGAGTTGTATGATCCATCAACAGAAACTTGGACAATCACGGGTAGCATGAACCATTCACGAGCTTGGCACACCGCATCCATATTAAAAAATGAAAAAGTGTTAGTTACTGGTGGAAGAAGTTCTGATGAAATCCTAAGTAGTGCTGAGTTGTATGATCTATCAACAGGAAATTGGGCAACTACTGGCAGCATGAATAGTAAACGAAGGATGCACACCGTATCCATATTAAAAAATGAAAAAGTGTTAGTTACTGGTGGAGCAGACATGAATGCTTTTTTAAGTAGTGCTGAGTTGTATGATTCATCAACAGGAACTTGGATAACTAAAGGTAGCAATGAAGAGTCAGCGAGCGAAGCACACAGCATTCCTATTAACAAGTGAAAAAGTGTTACTTAATGGTGAATGGGCAAATGTTAGTGTGATTTGAACAGTGCAGAAATATATAAAACATTTCAAAAAGTAAACACAATAAGCAGCGTTTGATGTTTCATATCATTATTCTTGCGTGTAACTATTATCCTTCAAAGTTCGATTGTCTCAATATTTGTTCATTATTTCATACTGTTTCTCTCGCTATTTTCCGTGGAATTTCTTTTTGATTTATTATCACAATAAACTATTCAAATTCTCTATAGTAGTTTTGTGAAACACGATTGATAATGAGTTTTGAATCATATAACAAGAAAAGTGAACCCACCTTTCCCTGAGTCGGCCTTAAAATCTATGACAAACAGACAGACAGACAGTCAGTCAGAATAGATAAAGTTCTCTAACATCACAAAACCAGATCGAAATAGTCTTGAACAAATCGAATCTATGATGTCTCAACTCTTGCCTTCCAGTAATCGATGATTCGGCGAATATGATTAATAGAGAATTGTTTACATTGAATTCAAATAACAGAATGCAGAGTTCATTTGCAGACCTGTTTCGTAATCTTTATCAAGACTCATTCATCAGTGCCCTGCATTTTTATGAAGTGCATCCAACTCTTTAGACAAGAGTACAAAGAATAATATTGCGAATACAAAGCACATAAAAACTAAGATTTCAAATGTAACAGAAAAAAAAGAAATTTTTAATTACAAGACAAGAATATTTATGGTCACAGACAATCAAACGAAACTAGAGCAGTATTGTGTTTTCAGCGTTGTCCTTGTTATGGTAGCATTTTCCTGTTAGTTTATTTTAAATTTAAAAGAGAGTCTGTTAATATACTAGACAACATGGCAGAAGAACTTTTAATCAATACTTTATGAAATCATCTATTATAGGCGAAGCTTGTAATCGAATTTGTCGAATGAAATTGATTAATTGGAATTTTAAAACAGCCGAAGCACAAGATACAACTTATTATTCTGAAATTTAATACACTCTGAACTTGTTCTATGTGTCAAAATGTTTTTTGCTAAAGTATTCTATTCTGAAATTTAATTAAAGAAAATAATTGATCGTTGATTATATACTAGAATTATTCTAAGAAACCATCTCTAAAGCACATATGGTCGAAAATCGTTTTTTTTCATCCTCTCCTTCCCCTGAACGCATGGCTTAAAGTTTTTATTTTTGCAAAGTACTTAACAAGCGAAAAATTTCTAACATCCATAGGTGTTTAACCCGACAGAAAACAAAGACAGTATATAGGTAACGAGTAGAAATGTCACACCCGTTCCTTTCTTCGGATGACCTCTATAGATGACATCTAATACGATATGAGAAATACTATTGTATTCACATTCATACTAAAGTTAGAATCTCGAAATTTCCTTCACGATTGAATTGATGGAAACCCAACAAACAAACAAATACTAAATTAATGGAAAGAAAATGTCAAATTTGAACATTAGTTAAAATGAACCATCTTTCCTCTTTGTTTATTTTATCTAATATAGTAATTTTTGTCACAAGAAATATTAATAATTCTATTAACGAAGTTAGAATATTTTAAATTATTTTTCTTTCAATTTTAATATAAAACATATTCGTAGATCAATGTAGACAAAGATAGAAAGAAAAACCAATTATTTATTGATTTTATCATTCCAATATACATCTGACTTTATGTCATTTCATAAAAATATTTATTCAGTTCGCTTGACTTTTCAGATCGTTGTCTGTCCAAATTTTAATCCATTCATACATATCTCTGAAGTCACCCTTTAAAAATAAATAAAAATAAATAAATCAATTAATAGAAGAAAAAAAAGTCTTACTTCTGTTCGAAATGCAGGACAAGAATAAGCAATTTTCCTTGCTTGATGAAATATATCAACTGTATTATCAATATTTAATTGTTCCATTAAATTTGTAAGAAGATATATAATAGCACCTGTTTGAATTTCACTAAAAGAAAAACTCGATTTTAAATGTAAAATAAAATCAATTTCTATACTCAATGCATATTAAAATCGGTATATCATCATTTTGATCAAGTTCTACAAGTGATCGAGAAAGTCTATATAATAAAATATTTCGAATGGAATTAATTGGTTGATAAATAAAAGTCATAGACTATGAATAAACAAAGAAATGAATTAAATTTTTT